AGTGACACACGTATGTGAAAAGAGCTAAAGAAATAAAAACAGCAGATTTTCTAAATTCTAAACTGGACCATCTCTGGGGTTTGATGTTTGGTGTAAATAAAATCATGTAGAGTCAAACTTTGTGGATCTGAGGAGTTTCTGACGCTAAATTTTTTTAAACTTTATGATCGTTCAGAAACACAGATCTATCTTTTTTGGCAAAACAAATGATGATTTCTGCTCCTCTTTACACGATCTGATCAGTCAAAAATTGTGAAAGTGTTGTAGTCCTGGTTTAGTCCTGGTTCAGTCCTGGTTTAGTCCTGGTTTAGTCTTAGTTTAGTCCTGGTTTAGATCAGATTGGTGTAAAATAGAGACACTGGGACATTTCTTGTATAAAACTGTGGGACAAATCAGTGGTTTTGTGTAAATCTGTGGGACGGGGACACAGACTCAGGACTGGGACTGTCCCGGGGACACAGGGACGTGTCTCTGGACCAGTGTCTCTCCGGCCTCGTCCCAGCAGCTCGTCCAAGGATTTGTGACTCAGATGTGATGAAAAACCTCGTATCTTCTGTTCAGCTGCGTCTGACTCTTCCATGATTCTTTTTGTTTTGTGATTTTTATGTTTTTCTGATTCTGTGAAAGGTTTTTTTTTTTTAATCCTGCTGCACAAATAAAAACGTCTCACAGGGTTTTGACTCGACCCCCGACCCTGAACCACCGAACACTGAACCCTCTGATAAAACCTCTCCAACTCCTCTGAGACTCCCACAAGAACCAGGACTAAACCAGGACTAAACCAGGACTAAACCAGGACTAAACCAGGACTAAACCAGGACTAAACCAGGACTAAACCAGGACTAAACCAGGTCTAAACCAGGACTAAACCAGGACTAAACCAGGACTAAACCAGGTCTAAACCAGGTCTAAACCAGGACTAAACCAGGTCTAAACCTAAACCAGGACTAAACCAGGACTAAACAGGACTAAACCAGGTCTAAACCAGGACTAAACCAGGTCTAAACCAGGACTAAACCAGGAACTAAACCAGGTCTAAAACCAGGACTAAACCAGGTCTAAACCAGGACTGAACCAGGACTAAACCAAATTCAAAAAAATCCCAAATCCCTTTTTTGTGGAGGTCAGAAGGAAAGAATCTGGATTTGGGACTAAATATTCAAGTCCAAACTCCAGGATCATGTGGAGCAGGTTTAGACGACTGGAGCCAGAGTCTGTGGAGCCCAAACACGCCCCTGATCACTTCCTGTGTGAGCGCTGGCGGCGGCGGCGGCGGCGGCGGCGAGGAGCGCGGGGTTTTACCTTGACGTAGTCGTACTCGCACAGGTACGACGGCTCCAGGTGGAAGTGGCTGAAGTCCAGTCGGATCCTGAACCCGGCCGGGACTCGGATCTCCCAGACCAGGTCCAGGTCCCGGGGGTACGGCTCGGGGAAGCCCGGCGACTCCAGGCTCCCGTACATGGACGAGAGCGCGATCACGTGACCCTCGGCGGCCAATGGGAGAAGAGCGAGGAGCAGAGGAACCAGAAGAACCAGAAGAGGAACCAACAGAAGAAACCTGAGAGCAGAAACGCACGATCAGACACTCGATACTCGATACTCACGGACACACTCGATACTCGATACTCGATACTCGAGACTCACGGACACACTCGATACTCGATACTCACGGACACACTCGATACTCGATACTCGATACTCGATACTCACGGACACACTCGATACTCGATACTCGATGGACACACTCGATACTCGATACTCGATACCGATACTGCTGCATGTCTGTATTGTCGTGGTGTGGAGGTAAATCTGACAGTTTCATTTTGTTTGAGAAACACTTGAGAACATCAAAGATCTGCAGATGTTCTCCTCATTTCTAATTCACCATCTTGACACCAGAAGAAAACTGTTGTGTCCAGAAGCTTCCACAGTCACAGTCTTGAATCCACGTGTCGCTCAATTGTTTTTCAAAATAAAACCAAAAATAAGAAAATGAAAAATCAACAGTTTTCTTCATTATTTGTCTCCAAAACCAAAATGAAAAAACAGATAACGACCGTTTCCTGTTTACGTGACTGAACCAGGACTGATCCAGGACCAAGACCAAGACCAGACCGGGACCAGACCGGGACCAGACCGGGACCAGACCAGGACGAGACCAGGTGAGACCAGACCGAGACCAGAGAGACCAGAGTGAGAGCGAGACCGAGACCAGAGTGAGACCAGACCGAGACCGAGACCAGAGTGAGACCGAGACCGAGACCAGAGCGAGAGCGAGACCGAGACCAGAGTGAGACCGAGACCGAGACCAGAGCGAGAGCGAGACCGAGACCAGAGTGAGACCAGACCGAGACCGAGACCAGAGTGAGACCAGACCGAGACCGAGACCAGAGCGAGAGCGAGACCGAGACCAGAGTGAGACCGAGACCGAGACCAGAGTGAGACCGAGACCGAGACCAGAGTGAGACCGAGACCGAGACCAGAGCGAGACCGAGACCGAGACCAGAGTGAGACCGAGACCGAGACCAGAGCGAGACCGAGACCGAGACCAGAGTGAGACGGAGACGCTTAATGCCACACACCGGGACATTTCACACACAAGAGAAACACAAACATTTTCACTCTCAACATGAACGAGTTGAAAACAACACAACAGATGAACTGAACACAACTAGAGTGAAATGATCATTGATTCAAATGATGATTTTAACACTTAGTTTGGTGTAAAAGTTCAATCATGTGACACGTTATTTACACAAATAAACTTTTGTCTTTCTACAAATGTGTAAAAAACAACACGATGTGTTTTTACTCTGACTTGAGTCGTTTCTTGGACACTTTGTACTTTTACTTGAGTAATATTATAGTTTAAAGTAACGAGGCAAAAGAGAAATTGAATTAGTCAGAAGTGAAACAGTTTGGAGCAAAATAACCTTGAGTCAGAGACAGATTGAGTTTGTCTCTTGTGGAGTTGAGCCGCAGCACGGACACGTTTGACTCGAGTCTGACCCGCGGCTTCTCCTCCCGCGTCACGTCAAACTCAGGTCACTTTGTCATTTGTTCAATTATAAACTTTTGTCAAAATGAAACAAACAGAAAAAATAAAAATAAACTCCAAACCTGAAAGACTCGGAGCTCATGATGCGACCGCGCGCTGCTCCGACTCCGAGTCCGAGTCTAGTCCGGGTCCTGGTCCTGGTCTAGTCCTGCAGCGGCTCTGGTCCTGGTGCGGGTCTAGTCCCGGTCCTGGTCTGTCCGAGTCTGGTCCTGGTCTGGACTTCGCTCCTGCGTGTGACGTCACGAGTGCGTGGATCCCGAAAGCTCACGAGGAACTGAGAGGATTTAAAAGGTTTGAATAAAAACCAGGACTAAACCAGGACTAAACCAAAACCAGGACTAAACCAAAACCAGGACTAAACCAGGACTAAACCAGGAAACCAGGACTAAACCAGGACTAAACCAGGACTAAACCAAAACCAGGACTAAACCAGGACCAAACCAGGACTAAACCAGGACTAAACCAGGACTAAACCAGGACCAAACCAGGACTAAACCAGGACTAAACCAGGACTAGACCAAAAACCAGGACTAAACCAAAACCAGGACTAAACCAGAACTTTTTCTTTTTTTTTTTTATAAAACCTTAATTTGATGTTTGTTTTTATTGTTTCCATTAAAATGATTCACAGTTGAATCATGATTTGCACAAAATATTTGTTTATAAATGTGTCCAAATGTGAACACCGGGTCCAGGTCCGGGTCCAGGTCCGGGTCCAGGTCCAGGTCCAGGTCCAGGGTCCAGGTCCAGGTCCAGGTCCAGGTCCGGGTCCGGGTCTGGACTCAGACGCTGCTGTGTCCGTGAGGCGCCGCGGGGGGGCGCTGTTGGACCGGTGATGGACGGTCCGGTAACGGGACGGTCACGTGACTCCCGTTTCTATGGAGACGGGCCCAAACTCAACATCACGTCACTTCACAGGAGTCCAAGAACCAGGACCGAACCAGGACCGAACCAGGACCGAGTGAGGACTAAAGGAGGTGTGAAGAGCACGTGACTGTGGAAGTTTCTCTGGACTGAACCGGATCAGAACCAGGACTAAACCTGGACTAAACCTGGACTAAACCTGGACTAAACCTGGTCTAAAACAACAGACTTTCGAGTTTTTTGGATTTTATTGTATTTTTTCTAAATGTGACGCTCGTGCTCCAGCCCCTCCCCGGGTCTCCTCCTCCTGTCCCCGGGTCTCCTCCTCCTGTCCCCGGGTCTCCTCCTCCTGTCCCCGGGTCTCCTCCTCCTCCTGTCCCCGGGTCTCCTCCTCCTGTCCCCGGGTCCCTCCTCCTGTCCCCGGGTCTCCCCTCCTCCTGTCCCGGGTCTCCCCTCCTCCTGTCCCCGGGTCTCCTCCTCCTGTCCCCGGGTCTCCCCTCCTCCTGTCCCCGGGTCTCCTCCTCCTGTCCCCGGGTCTCCTCCTCCTGTCCCCGGGTGTCTCCTCCTCCTGTCCCCGGGTCTCCTCCTCCTGTCCCCGGGTCTCCTCCTCCTGTCCCCGGGTGTCCCCTCCTTCTGTCCCCGGGTCTCCTCCTCCTGACCGCGGCTCTCTCGCTCCGGTCCCCGCTCGTGTCTCCGGTGCTCTGTCCGGTGCGTGATGTCGTCCTCCCGGCAGAAGACGGCGGTGTTCTCGGTGGCGGGGGCGCTGGGCTTCGGCTGCGCTCTGGCCGCGGCCGTGGGCACCGGGCTGCCGCTGTGGGTGGACGCGGCGGTTCTGTGTCGGACCGGGGCGGAGCTGGTGAACGCGTCCGGACCGGAGCTCGACATGTTCCTCGGGGCCGTGAACTACGGACTTTTCACCGGGAGCAGAGTCCGACACTGCGGCCTGGGGGGTCGCCCCACCCGCTTCTACTGTGAGTGTGACCCGGACGGACCCGACGGACAACAGTGACCTGAGTGACACGAGGGACCTGAGTGTAGTGTGAGTGGTGGGAGCAGGAACAGGGCTTTTGGTGGAGATGGTCCTTTTGGACTTCTGAGTATCAGAGTACTCGAGTATCAGAGTACTTGAGTATTAGAGTACTTGAGTATTAGAGTACTCTAGTATGAGAGTACTCGAGTATCAGAGTACTGGAGTCATCAGGGGGAGGGGGCATCAGGAGGAGGGGGGCATGAGGGGGGGGCATGAGGGCATTTGTTGTGGGTGGTTAAACTCGTTGGTTGTTTTGCGGGTCACTGGACACAAACAGTTTGTTCTTTATGAGGAGAGAACGAACTCAGAGGGAAAGTTCACACAGAAACCAGTCACACACCCTCCTGTGTGTGTCAGGTGCCTCCTGTGTGTGTCAGGTGCCTCCTGTGTGTGTCAGGTGCCTCCTGTGTGTGTCAGGTCCCTCCTGTGTGTGTCAGGTGCCTCCTGTGTGTGTCAGGTGCCTCCTGTGTGTGTCAGGTGCCTCCTGTGTGTGTCAGGTGCCTCCCTGTGTGTGTCAGGTCCCTCCTCTGTGTGTGTCAGGTGCCTCCCTTGTGTGTGTCAGGTGCCTCCCTGTGTGTGTCAGGTGCCTCCTGTGTGTGTCAGGTGCCTCCCTGTGTGTGTCAGGTCCCTCCCTGTGTGTGTCAGGTGCCTCCTCGTGTGTGTCAGGTGCCTCCCTGTGTGTGTCAGGTCCCTCCTGTGTGTGTCAGGTCCCTCCCTGTGTGTGTCAGGTCCCTCCTGTGTGTGTCAGGTCCCTCCTGTGTGTGTCAGGTCCCTCCCTGTGTGTGTCAGGTCCCTCCCTGTGTGTGTGTCAGGTCCCTCCTGTGTGTGTCAGGTGCCTCCCTGTGTGTGTCAGGTGCCTCCTGTGTGTGTCAGGTGCCTCCCTGTGTGTGTCAGGTCCCTCCTGTGTGTGTCAGGTGCCTCCTGTGTGTGTCAGGTGCCTCCCTGTGTGTGTCAGGTGCCTCCCTGTGTGTGTCAGGTGCCTCCCTGTGTGTGTCAGGTGCTTGTACTTTAGACACAAAAATCTTGGATCAGTTTAAAATTCAGATTTCAGTTTGAGGGAAAAATGTGAAACTGACACAATCTGGATTTTAAAACTGACCCCGGTCCCTGGTCTGACCCCGGTCCCTGGTCTGACCCCGGTCCCTGGTCTGACCCCGGTCCCTGGTCTGACCCCGGTCTCTGGTCTGACCCCGGTCTCTGGTCTGACCCCGGTCCCTGGTCTGACCCCGGTCCCTGGTCTGACCCCGGTCCCTGGTCTGACCCGGTCCCTGGTCTGACCCCGGTCCCTGGTCTGACCCCGGTCTCTGGTCTGACCCCGGTCTCTGGTCTGACCCCGGTCCCTGGTCTGACCCCGGTCTCTGGTCTGTGTCAGTCTTCCCAGACCTCGTGGCTCAGATCCCGGTCGGTCTTCACGTGTCGGTCCTGCTCTTCTGCTCCTCGGTCGTTCTCTTCTCGGCGTTGGCGTCCGGGTTCTTCTTCTACAACGCCTTCGGTCGCCCGTACCTGCCCCTGCACGGCCCCACGGGACTCTACCTGTGGACCACCGCCGCCGGTGAGTCCAGGTCCACACCGGGTTCAGACCTGGTTTAGTCCTGTTTTAGTCCTGGTTTAGACCTGGTTTAGTCCTGTTTTAGTCCTTGTTTTAGACCTGGTTTTAGTCCTGGTTTAGTCCTGGTTTAGTCCTGGTTCAGTCCTGGTTTAGATCTGGTTCAGTCCTTGTTTTAGTCCTGGTTTAGTCCTGGTTCAGTCCTTGTTTTAGTCCTGGTTTAGTCCTGGTTTAGTCCTGGTTTAGACCTGGTTTAGTCCTGGTTCAGTCCTGGTTCAGTCTTGTTTTAGTCCTGGTTTAGACCTGGTTTAGTCCTGGTTCAGTCCTGGTTTAGTCCTGGTTCAGTCCTTGTTTTAGTCCTGGTTTAGTCCTGGTTTAGTCCTGGTTCAGTCCTGTTTTAGATCTGGTTCAGTCCTTGTTTTAGTCCTGGTTTAGACCTGGTTTAGTCCTGGTTTAGATCTGGTTCAGTCCTTGTTTTAGTCCTGGTTTAGTCCTGGTTTAGTCCAGTCCTTGTTTTAGTCCTGTTTAGTTCTGGTTTAGTCCTGGTTTAGTTCTGGTTTAGTCCTGGTTCAGTCCTGGTTTAGTCCTGGTTTAGTCCTGGATTAGTCCTGGTTCAGTCCTGGTTTAGGTTCTGGTTTAGTTCTGTTTCAGTCCTTTAGTCCTGGTTCAGTCCTTGTTTTAGTCCTGGTTCAGTCCTGGTTCAGTCCTGGTTAGTCCTGTTAGTCCTGTTCAGTCCTGGTTTAGTCCTGGTTCAGTCCTTGTTTTAGTCCTGGTTTAGTCCTGGTTTAGACCTGGTTTAGTCCTGGTTCAGTCCTTGGTTTAGTCCTGGTTCAGTCCTTGTTTTAGTCCTGGTCCAGTCCTGGTTTAGTCCTGGTTTTTGTCTTTCAGGACTCTGCAGTTTCTTGGTCCTGGTGCTGTTCGCGTGTGAGGTGAAAGTCGCTCGTTTGTCGGAGCTCATCTCGAACTTTAACGAGGGTTCGTTCGTGTTCGTGACGCACGGCGAGCGATACGAGCGATCCTATTGGCTGTTCCTGCTCGTCTTCTTCGTCCAGGCCGCCAACGTTCTCCTGATCCGTCTGTCCGGAGTCCACTTCCCCTTCCACCGCAAAGAGCCCACGGACGCCGAGACGGGCGCCGCCGACCTCATGTACTGACCACGCCCACAGACCACGCCCACTTACGTAGACCACGCCTACTCACACTTCGCATTCGATTTTCCCTCTGAGTTGGTTTTCCGAGGAATCTGGGACGCGACTCGGATCCTGGAGGCAGAAAAAGTCGACTGAAAGATTCAGAGTCAGAATCGAAGAGGCTCCGCCCACTGTGTCGTGCAAATATTAAGTGTTTTTATCGTGGGAGTCGTGTTGCGGTGAGGCCGCACGCCGCTCTCCGACTCCGACACAACGTAATAAAACACTTCAAACTCGGATGTGACGTCAAATCCAAGGTCCAAGTGGGAGTCGGAAGAACGTCAAACACAGGGTCACGCCCACCGCCACAGACCACGCCCACCGCCACAGACCACGCCCACCACCACCACGCCCCTCATGTACTGACCACGCCCACTTTCTCTTCAATAGTTTTGTGGAGTTTTGTTAAAGTCGCTGTCGTCAGCTGAACAGAAATGAGCTCGTGTCATTAATGCAAAAATCATAATCATGAATAATTTAAACACAAATGAAAACAGACACACACAAAACAACACAAACACAAACGTTTGTTTCATTTTCTGCCGTTTTGAGTTTCACATTTTGAGTCTCTAGAATCACACAAACGAACAAACATAGACGTAGTTTGTGTAGTTGTGCGTTTGATGGGGGCGCCTTCGCACACAGACCCCGCCCCTCTTGTTCTGGCCACGCCCACACACACACAGACCCCGCCCCTCTTGTTCTGGCCACGCCCACACACACACAGACCCCGCTGCGCTGTTCGAGAGTTTCTCTTTTTGCTGCGTAGTTTTGTACAAATTGGAATAAAAACATTTGTGATCAGGTTTGGGGTTTGACGTCTTTTTACAAACAACAATGAAAATAAACAACAATTAACGACATTTAACAACAAAACTCTGAACAATTCACTATTTACATTTTACAAAAGATCGTAACAGTTTTTTAAGCAAACCAGGGTCTAAAGAAGTCCTCCTGGTTCAGTCCTGGTTCAGTCCCGGTTCAGTCCTGGTTTAGTCCCGGTTCAGTTCCAGTTTTAGTCCCACGCTCAGTCCTGATTTAGTCCCTGTGTTCTGATTGGTCGTGGCCTCTTAGCCCCTCCCTCCAGACCCCGATGATGACGCTGCCCTGCGATTGGCCGGAGGAGGCCGCGCCGCGCTGTGATTGGCCGGCGGCGGACGGGAGGTGGGGGGCAAAGATCACCTGGAGGCTGCGGGGGGCGGAGCTCTGGTCCCCGCGAATCAGCAGCCCCTCCTCACGACGCATCATCAGCCGCGCCGTCAGCTGATTGGACCAGGCCAGACCAAGGGCGGGGCCGAAGGACGAGGGGGCGGGGCTAAAGAGAGGGACAACTGTCAATCAAAAGGGATGAGCAAAGGCACGTTTAAGAGACGTGTGTGTAAATGTGTGTGTAAACGTGTGTGTGTGTAAATATCTGTGTGTAAAAGTGTGTGTGTAAACGTGTGTGTGTAAACGTGTGTAAACGTATGTGTGTAAATATCTGTGTGTAAATATCTGTGTAAATATGTGTGCAAATATGTGTGTGTGTGCAAATGTGTGTAAACATGTGTGTGTAAATATCTGTGTATAAACGTGTGTGTGTAAATGTGTGTAAATGTGTGTGTCCCCACAAAACACCAGGACCAAAAACCTGGTCCTTCTCCTTCTCAATCTCCTCCTTAAAACAAGTCAGTTGTTCATGTTGTGGCTCCGGTACGAGAGGAACTTTAAAATCTCCAGGTGCTCGATGCTGCGTCCATGTTTGTTCAACTTGTGTAAACACAGAGACGCTCGCTGCGGTTGACGTCGTCGTGTCTCCAGTGTCACATGTGGGACACTTTTGGACCGTTTAATGTTCACACTGGAGTCACATACAAGTCACATTTAACTGGAAATGTGAACGAGCTCGAAAAAACATCGGATTTCACAAAAAAATCTGAATTGAGCGTTAAACCTGCAGACTGAACGGAGACTTATATTTGTTCTGGTCCAGCTCCAGTTCGTTCTAAACACATTCAGGAAACATTCTAAAGGTTCTAAATAGGGATGGGCAGGATTAGTCGATTAATCGATAATTGATCATTAAGAATTTCATCGATTCCGTTGATTTTAATGGACAAACTGAATGTATGTGTGTGTGTCGTGACCAAACAGGTGTGTACATGTGTCTCTGCATCAGAAGGAGCGACACACAAACAGTGGGTCAGTCTGTAACGAACCGAAGCACAAATGTGGATTTAACCAGGATTTGTAGAAGAAATTCCACACTTTCCGTTGCGTTGGGACAAGTGTGAGTCCATGTGCACAGTGGATAAAGCAGCACATATGTTTCTGTGTCCAGTGGGAAAAAGTTTTTCCAGGTGAGAGTCGCTCAATGTGGATGACGAGGCCCCGCCCCTCCCCCCGTACGCTGTCCTGGTTTTGACAAACACATAATCTGGTCACACTGACCTGTATTCACCTGAGTCATGTCTTTTAATCCAACACAAGTTGAACCACATCAGCGACACAAGAGCTGGAGTTTTATCTTCACTTAGTTTATGTAAATTAGTGATGTGGTTTTAAAGGTTGTATAGAGGATTTTTTAAGGGAGGTGAAATACAGTGACAGTCCTTTTTCAAATGTTGTGCCTGCGTGACACCACCTCCCTCCTCCACAGCTCCTCAGTAGAAACACCTCCTCCTCCCGCCTCTTTATAGAAAATGAGGGAGCCTCGTTTTCTATTGGCTGATGTTTATCTGGCCTCACTACGTCCACAGTTGGTAGATTTTCATTCTTTTTTTTTTTTCATAATTACAAAGCTGCTGCGTCTCTGTAATGATATTTTAAACTTTCATTGACAATTTGAAACTAAAAAAAAAAAAATCCTCCATACAACCTTTAAGTTTTGTTTCTGTGAGATTTGAACAAAACTGAATTAAACACATTATAATGTCAAACAGCTGATGTGGATCTAGAGTCGTTATGTTTATATGTCGTAAAGTTGAATTTATTGATGCAGATTAGTGCAGATAGTAATAATAATGATGATCATTTTAATATAAAAACGTTCATGATTAATCGATGACCGATCGTTAATTCTTCCGACGATCGATTAAGAACATTTCATCGAATGCCCGTCCCTAGTTCTAAATGTTCTGTTCTGTTCTGTGAGTGGGACAGTTTTAGTCTCGATACTTGAGGAACATGAGGCTCTAGTTTCAATATTAGTTTGAGCATCGATTTGTGTTTTATTTTTATTCTTGAATCAGTTTTGATCATCGTGAATCATCTTTACCCCAGACCCTGGTCCTGCTCCGGGTTCACCAGATCCACCACCTGAAAAACAGGATCAGAGGATTGTAACTGGACTGAGCGGGGTCTGGGTCTGGGTCTGGGTCTGGTCCCGGTCTTGGTCTCACCTGGTTGATGCAGAGCACAGGTGCGTTGAACTGGCGGCTGATTCGTCGGAGCGCGGAGGAGACGGCCAACAGCTGCCGGTGTCTCCGCAGCCAATCAGACGCCTCGAACTCGGAGCGGAACAGCGCCGCCACGGAGTCCACCACGACCAATCGGACGAGACGACGGGAGAGGAGGAGCACGACGCGACGAGACAGGCACGACAGGAGCGACGCCTGACGAGGAGAGAGGAGAGGAGTGAGGAGACAGGCACGACAGGAGCGACGCCTGACGAGGAGAGAGGAGAGGAGTGAGGAGACAGGCACGACAGGAGCGACGCCTGACGAGGAGAGAGGAGAGGAGTGAGGAGACAGGCACGACAGGAGCGACGCCTGACGAGGAGAGAGGAGAGGAGTGAGGAGACAGGAGAGAGGAGACAGGAGAGAGGAGTGAGGAGGCAGGAGTGAGGAGTGAGGAGACAGGAGTGAGGAGTGAGGAGACAGGCACGACAGGAGCGACGCCTGACGAGGAGAGAGGAGAGGAGTGAGGAGACAGACACGACAGGAGCGACGCCTGACGAGGAGAGAGAAGAGAGGAGTGAGGAGAAGAGGAGAGGAGTGAGGAGTGAGGAGAGAGGAGCGAGGAGAGAGAGGAAAGAGGAGTGAGGAGAGAGGAGACAGGAGTGAGGAGACAGGAGTGAGGAGTGAGGAGACAGGAGTGAGGAGTGAGGAGAGAGGAGTGAGGAGTGAGGAGGCAGGAGTGAGGAGACAGGAGAGAGGAGACAGGAGTGAGGAGTGAGGAGAGGAGTGAGGAGACAGGAGTGAGGAGAGAGGAGACAGGAGTGAGGAGACAGGAGTGAGGAGTGAGGAGACAGGAGTGGGAGTGAGGAAAGAGGAGTGAGGAGACAGGAGAGAGGAGACAGGAGTGAGGAGTGAGGAAAGAGGAGTGAGGAGACAAGAGAGAGGAGACAGGAGTGAGGAGTGAGGAGTGAGGAAAGAGGAGTGAGGAGACAGGAGAGAGGAGTGAGGAGAGAGGAGTGAGGAGACAGGAGAGAGGAGACAGGAGTGAGGAGACAGGAGTGAGGAGACAGGAGTGAGGAGACAGGAGTGAGGAGACAGGAGAGAGGAGACAGGAGAGAGGAGACAGGAGAGAGGAGACAGGAGAGAGGATGGAGGAGAGTTCTGACCAGGTCGGAGACGTGCTCCACAAACACTCGGTCGCTCAGGTTCTTGGGGATCTGGTCCAGAGGAACATCCTGACGGAGAAAACTCTGCTCTGAGATCATCTGCTGCAGGCGAGGAGAAGGAAACAAGTCCTCCGTGCACACGTACACCGCTCCTACACGAGAGAAGAAGAAGAGAGAAAAGTCACACCGCTCCTACACGAGAAGAAGAAGAGAGAAAAGTCACACCGCTCCTACACGAGAGAAGAAGAAGAGAGAAAAGTCACACCGCTCCTACACGAGAGAAGAAGAAGAGAGAAAAGTCACACCGCTCCTACACGAGAGAAGAAGAAGAGAGAAAAGTCACACCGCTCCTACACGAGAGAAGAAGAAGAGAGAAAGTCACACCGCTCCTACACGAGAGAAGAAGAGAGAAAAGTCACACCGCTCCTACACGAGAGAAGAAGAGAGAAAAGTCACACCGCTCCTACACGAGAAGAAGAAGAGAGAAAAGTCACACCGCTCCTACACGAGAGAAGAAGAAGAAAGAAAAGTCACACCGCTCCTACACGACGAGAAGAAGAAGAGAGAAAAGTCACACCGCTCCTACACGCTCCTACACGAGAGAAGAAGAGAGAAAAGTCACACACACACCCGCTCCTACACGAGAGAGAAGAAGAGAGAAAAGTCACACCGCTCCTACACGAGAAGAGAAGAAAGAGAGAAAGTCACACCGCTCCTACACGAGAGAAGAAGAGAGAGAAAAGTCACACCGCTCCTACACGAGAGAAGAAGAAGAGAGAAAAGTCACACCGCTCCTACACGAGAGAAGAAGAAGAGAGAAAAGTCACACCGCTCCTACACGAGAAGAAGAAGAGAGAAAAGTCACATCGCTCCTACACGAGAAGAAGAGAGAAAAGTCACACCGCTCCTACACGAGAAGAAGAAGAAGAGAGAAAAGTCACACCGCTCCTACACGAGAGAAGAAGAGAGAAAAGTCACACACCGCTCCTACACGAGAGAAGAAGAGAGAAAAGTCACACCGCTCCTACACGAGAGAAGAAGAGAGAGAAAGTCACACCGCTCCTACACGAGAGAAGAAGAGAGAGAGAAAAGTCACACCGCTCCTACACGAGAAGAAGAAGAGAGAAAAGTCACACACGCACGCTCCTACACGAGAAGAAGAAGAGAGAAAAGTCACACCGCTCCTACACGAGAAGAAGAAGAGAGAGAAAAGTCACACCGCTCCTACACGAGAAGAAGAGAAGAGAGAAAAGTCACACCGCTCCTACACGAGAGAAGAAGAGGAGAGAAAAGTCACACCGCTCCTACACGAGAAGAAGAAGAGAGAAAAGTCACACCGCTCCTACACGAGAAGAAGAAGAAGAGAGAAAAGTCACACCGCTCCTACACGAGAAGAAGAAGAGAGAAAAAGTCACACCGCTCCTACACGAGAGAAGAAGAGAGAAAAGTCACACCGCTCCTACACACGAGAGAAGAAGAGAGAAAAGTCACACCGCTCCTACACGAGAGAAGAAGAAGAGAGAAAAGTCACACCGCTCCTACACGAGAAGAAGAAGAGAGAGAAAAGTCACACCGCTCCTACACGAGAGAAGAAGAAGAGAGAAAAGTCACACCGCTCCTACACGAGAGAAGAAGAAGAGAGAAAAGTCACACCGCTCCTACACGAGAGAAGAAGAGAGAGAAAAGTCACACCACTTCTGTATAAAAGAGGACAGAAAAAGGAAGAAAAGAAAAAGAGAGATTCTGTCCTCCCCACTGGTTTAACAGGGAGCAGGTGCTTAGCAACGCTGTCAATCAAACCTGTTGCTAAGGCCAGTGGGAGGAGCCTCGGGGAAAGAAGGCGTCTGACTGGTCGGTTTTTAAAGTTCAGATCTGGATTTAAGGACAAAATGTTGAAGCCCAAACCCCAGGATCATGTAGACCAGGACTAAACCCGACCTGAACCAGGACTAAACCCGACCTGAACCAGGACTAAACCCAACCTGAACCAGGACTAAACCCGACCTGAACCAGGACTAAACCCAACCTGAACCAGGACTAAACCCAACCTGAACCAGGACTAAACCCGACCTGAACCCCGGACTAAACCCGACCTGAACCAGGACTAAACCCACCTGAACCAGGACTAAACCCGACCTGAACCAGGACTAAAAACCTGAACCAGACTAAACCCGACCTGAACCAGGACTAAACCCGACCTGAACCCCGGACTAAACCCGACCTGAACCCCGGACTAAACCCGACCTGAACCCCGGACTAAACCCGGACCTGTCCCCTGACCCGAGGCGTCACCTGAGCCCAGTCCTCCGTGCTGCGGGTCGTACTGCACAGACAGACAGAACTGCAGAGCGAGTTGAGTCTTTCCCGCGGCGCTGGGTCCAAACAGCTCGGTGACGCCCCCCACAGGAAGCCCCCCGCGCAGCACCACGTCTATGGACCTGCACCCGGAGCTCAGGGGCCCGGAGGAGGAGCTCAGGGGCCCGGAGGAGGACAGGGCCAGAGCTGAGGGACAAACGACACAAGACAAGTGAGACAAGTGAGACAGTGAGAGTGAGACAGGTGAGACAGGTGAGACAGGTGAGACAGGTGAGACAGGTGAGACAGTGGTGAGACAGGTGAGAGTGGTGAGACAGGTGAGACAGGTGAGACAGGTGAGACAGGTGAGACAGGTGAGACAGGTGAGACAAGTGAGAGTGGTGAGACAGGTGAGACAAGTGAGAGTGGTGAGACAAGTGAGAGTGAGACAGGTGAGACAGGTGAGTGAGAGAGTGAGAGTGAGACAAGTGAGAGAGTGTGAGACAAGGTGAGACAGGTGAGACAGGTGAGACAAGTGAGACAAGTGAGACAGTGGAGACAAGTGAGAGTGGTGAGACAGGTGAGAGTGGTGAGACAGGTGAGAGTGAGACAAGTGAGACAGGTGAGACAGGTGAGACAAGTGAGAGTGGTGAGACAGGTGAGACAAGTGAGAGTGGTGAGACAAGTGAGACAGGTGAGACAAGTGAGACAGTGAGAGTGAGACAAGGTGAGACAGTGAGAGTGAGACAGGTGAGACAAGTGAGACAGGTGAGACAGGTGAGACAAGTGAGACAGGTGAGAGTGGTGAGACAGGTGAGAGTGGTGAGACAGGTGAGACAAGTGAGAGTGGTGAGACAGGTGAGTGAGACAGGTGAGACAGGTGAGAGTGGTGAGACAGGTGAGAGTGGTGAGACAGGTGAGACAGTGAGAGAGACAGGTGAGACAGTGGTGAGACAGGTGAGACAGGTGAGTGAGAGTGAGACAGGTGAGAGTGAGACAAGTGAGAGTGGTGAGACAGGTGAGAGTGGTGAGACAAGTGAGACAGGTGAGACAGGTGAGACAGGTGAGACAGGTGAGACAGGTGAGACAGGTGAGTGAGACAGGTGAGAGTGAGACAGTGAGAGTGGTGAGACAGGTGAGAGTGGTGAGACAGGTGAGAGTGGTGAGACAGGTGAGAGTGGTGAGACAGGTGAGAGTGGTGAGACAGGTGAGACAAGTGAGACAGGTGAGACAGGTGAGTGAGACAGGTGAGAGTGGTGAGACAGGTGAGACAGGTGAGACAAGTGAGACAGGTGAGACAGGTGAGACAGGTGAGACAGGTGAGACAGGTGAGACAGGTGAGACAGTGAGACAGGTGAGACAAGTGAGAGTGAGACAGGTGAGACAGCAGAGAGTGGTGAGACAGTGAGTGAGACAGGTGAGACAGGTGAGGTGAGAGTGAGAGTGAGACAGTGAGACAAGGTGAGACAGTGAGAGTGAGACAGGTGAGACAAGTGAGACAGGTGAGAGTGAGACAGGTGAGACAGGTGAGACAGGTGAGAGTGGTGAGACAGGTGAGACAGTGAGACAGGTGAGAGTGGTGAGACAAGTGAGACAGGTGAGAGTGAGAGGTGAGACAGTGTGAGACAGGTGAGAGTGAGAGTGAGAGTGAGAGTGAGACAGGTGAGAGTGGCAGGTGTTGATGAGGAACAGTCTTTGGAGCGTGTTCACAGTTCATACTAAAATAAAGGAATATTTGAGCTTTTACTGGAGTTTTGGCTCATTTCTATGGAAACACGTGTCAGAACTACCTTTAAAATGTGCATCCTAGTGGCTTGTGTGGCATGGGGCCACACTGCCCAGATTTTAGTCAAGGTTATTTATCAACCTTCAAACGCTGACATTTTAAGATTTAGTTGACCTTTACACTTTGAAAATCATGTTCAAAATTAACAACAATCTCCTGTCAAAACCATTACAGAATATGTTCAAAATCTGAAATAGGCAAAATGAGCTCAGAGGTGGAGCCATGTTTTTTTTTTTGGATCATTTGCAGCATTACAAAACAAAAACAAAACAAAACACGAACCACGACGACATGGGTCATGACTGGAAGGGTCCGAGCTGAAACAAAGGCGCCAAACGCACGAATAACAAGTTTACGTTCACAACTCCACTCACTGGACACACAAGAGACAAAATATAAATTAAAACAAACAAAACTCAACACACAATTCATCAACTCCAGAGCACCGTATTTTCCAAAACACAACATCCTATACTCTTTTTTTAAAGGCTTCTACAGTGTTGGAATGTTTAAAATCATCACTCCGATTGTTCCACAAACTAAAACCTTTACCAGAAACACAATCACTTTCTTCCTCGTTCCTATCTTTTTTTTTTCCGTTTATGGTTGTACAAAATAATAATAATGTTAACAGAAGAAGTACAGCTACGTTTATCGAAAAGAAAATCAGAACAAACTTTAATGACATGTTGTAAATTTTTTAAAGGGCTGGAGCTCTGGAACAACCGCACAGAAAACCTCAAACTGGGCATCGCTCTGTTCCACTTTATAAAGAAGTTTAAATGTTTCACTCGGGGCAGAAACGTGAATGACGAGACAGAGTTTGTGCTGTAGAACTTTGTTGTTCTGTTTCTGATTTGTTTGTTTCCTCTTGTTGTTGTTTTTATGAAGATGAGCTGGTGTCAAGTGGAGGAGTTCAAGTATCTCGGGGTCTTGTTCACGAGTGAGGGGAGGATGGAGCGTGAGATTGACAGGTGGACAGGTGCAGCGTCTGCAGTGATGCGGTCGCTGTATCGGTCGTTGTGGTGAAGAGGAGCTGAGTCGAAAGGCGAAGCTCTCGATTTACCGGTCAGTCTTCGTTCCTCCTCTCACCTCTGGTCATGAGCTCTGGGTAGTGACCGAAAGGACGAGATCGCGGATACAAGCGCTCGAAATGAGTTTCCTCCGCAGGGTGTCTGGGCGTCTCCCTTAGAGACAGAGTGAGGAGCTCAGTCACACGGGAGGAGCTCGGAGTAGAGCCGCTGCTCCTCCACGTCGAGAGGAGCCAGTTGAGGCTCGGGCATCTGTTCTGATGTCTCCTGGACGTGTCCCTCAGGAGGTGTTCATGTCCCACTGGGAGGAGGCCCCGGGGAAGACCCAGGACACACTGGAGGGACTATGTCTCTCGGCTGGACTGGGAACGCCTCGGGGTCCCCCCGGAGGAGCTGGAGGACGTGTCTGGGGTGAAGGAAGTCTGGGAGTCCCTGCTTAGACTGATGCCCCCGTGACCCGGCCCCGGATAAGCGGAACAAAATGGATGGATGGAACTGGTGTCAAGATGAAGCTCAGATAAAGGAATAAAAGTAAAAACAGAATCAGCTCAAACTTCAGCCGACACTTTCTCACTCTGTAAATCTGACTGTGGAAGAACAGAACAAACCTGTGACCCACATCACACCTGTCAGGAGCACGGCAGGTGTATTTACCTGTCAGGAGCAGGGCAGGTGTGTTGGGGCAGGTGCAGGTGGCAGGTGTATTTACCTGTCTGAGGAGCGGGGCAGGTGCGCGTCGCCTGTCGCAGACTCTGTACGTCAGTGCGGCTCAGACCTGTGGCTCTTTGGACGACCCGAGGGTTTAGAGCCAGAACCTCCTCCTGGCTCAAGGTCACTGCACACACAGGGTCAAAGGTCAAAGGTCTTTATTTAAGGTTTTTATTTATTTTTTAAGTGCAGATTTTCAGATACAAAAGAATAATAATAATACTAATAATAAAAATAAAAAATATAAACAGTTGATAAATGCATAAAAAACACAAAAGTGAATAAAAACAACAGGCAATTTCAAAGCTCTAATTTAAAGGAATAAATTAAAATCATTTAAAAAGGAAATAAAAACTGCTTCTTTTCTCTCAATTCAGCTCAATGAGTGAACAGAAAGTTTCAATCTCATTCTTTAAGTGTGTTAGGTTTGGTTTAATTTTAAAAAACGACATTTGTGAATAAAATATTTACCTAAAATCAATGAATAAACATCTTAAAAATAAATGAACATCCTGCGCTAAAAGTCGTTACCAGACTCCATTAGAAACCGGAGTGTTTTTACCGAATGTAACGCGCTCATTCTTATACACACGACACAGATTTAAATCGCTGAATAAAGTGGCCAAAACGTAACTGGTCCTGCTTTTAAGCTTTACTAAATCCACCCGAATAATTCTGTCATTCATTTTGACTTTATTTACGCAGTATCTTTTTCGTAAGCCTTTCCATATTGTTTTGCCGAATGTTTAGTTTGAAAAGTTGTGTAATCGTGAGCGGAGTCCGGAGCGTCACCTCTCCGCAGCGCCGCCTGGATCCTCGGCTTCAGATCCGGATTGTTGGTCCATTTCCCCGCGCAGGACATCCGCCTGAGCCCCGGGGAAAGACCCAGAGACCCCGGAACAAACTCTGCGTCCCGTTAAACGTTTAAATCCAAAAATTAAACTCCAAAAAAAAGAACAAAAAACCCGAAACTTTTTACTTTTTCACACAGGACAGTCCGCCATTTTGTTCGCTCCCGCCTCAGAGTGACGTCATCGGAAGAGACCATTTGAGGCGTTTCAAAAGTTAAACACTTCTCATTATAAGTTTTATTTTGACTCTTTACGTCTTTTTTTAATCGTTTAAGGAAATAAAATATTAATAAAAGTAAGAAAGTTGTTAACATTAAGTTAGAACTCACCGTTTTGTGCGTTTTGTGAGTCTCGTAATGGCGCAGTCCACTTCCGTAAACAAAACGAGATGAAAACAAACAAACAAAAAAAGAATGCACGAGACACACAAACACACACAAATACACAACACACACACACACAACATACAAACACACAACATACAAACACACACACACACACACAACATACAAACACACAACATACAAACACACACACAAACACACAACACACACACACACAACATACAAACACACAAACACACACACACACAACATGAACACACACACGAGGCTTTTAACAGTGTGTTTTTTTATATTTTAACAATAACATTCATTATTTACAGAGAAAAACAAACACCAGACACTTAAATCCTGTGGAGTTGAGCTTAAATGAAACATTATTTCAAAGACATGTTTTGTTTTGTTGTTTTTGACACACTGAAGCAGAGCAAAACTAAATGGATCTGTTCAAGTATTTATGAAGTTAAAGTGACTCAGTCACACAAATGTGCTCAGGGAAATTTGTCAAATTTGACTTTAAATGTAGATTCAGTCATTTCAAATGATTTAGTCTCAAAGCCACTGAATAAAATGATTTCTGTTTATGTTCAGACAAATGACTTTTATTTGTTTTGGAGAAAATAAAATCACATTTATGAATATGTGAAAAATGTTTTGATTTTTTCGTGTCCCAAACTCAAAATGTTTCTATGATCCAGACTCTGAACCTGAACCTGAACCTGACGCTGAAACTCGTCTGAAACACTAAAAACAAAAGTTCAGATTTTCCTCAAACGCAGCGGCTCGGTGCAGCGGCAGAGTGGTTAACATCCTCCCCACAGTCAGAAGGTGTGAGGTTTGATTCCCGCCTGTGTTTGCGGCGCCCCCTTCAGCTCATGCTGCTCCACTGCAGCGAGCTGTAGGACACGCCCCCTGGTGGCGAGGGCGAGCACAGCAGCAGAGTCTTCTTGACGTTGGACGAGAGTCTGACCCAGGACAGAAGGTCCCTCACGGCGAGAGGGTCCCCCTCGCTCACACACAGAGCCATGAAGTGAGCGTGGAAGCGGAGAGCGTCCCCTAAGGACAAACAGTGTTACTGCGCACGCCGCCGCCGCCGTGAGCCGGACGCCCTCCCCGCGGGGCGCCTCGCCTCGCTCGCCCTACCTGGGTAAACCAAGAAGTCGACTCCGAACTTCCCTCCCGCCGTGAGGTAGAAGCCCCGCCTCCTCAGGTCGGCGAACACTCGGCCCCGCCCCTCGCCGCCGCGGCGCCGCTCTCCCGTCGGCTCGGAGCTCCCGCGCCGCCTCCTGACGGGCGGCAGGGGCAGGCCCTGTCTGCAGGTGCTGAGCTGCACGGCGAGCGCCGAGCGCGGGAACACGAAGCTGTCGAGCGCCGCCGCCGCAGAGGTCAGGGCCGCACCTGAGGTCACAGGTCACACAGGTCAGAGGTCAGAGGTCACAGAGACATGTTCAGTGTTTACAGAAACACGAGGACAAACATGATTTATATTCATGAAATAAAACAGACAGGTGTGTGTGACAGGTGTGTGACAGGTGTGTGACAGGTGTGTGTGACAGGTGTGTGACAGGTGTGTGTGACAGGTGTGTGTGTGTGACAGGTGTGTGTGTGTGTGACAGGTGTGTGTGACAGGTGTGTGACAGGTGTGTGACAGGTGTGTGACAGGTGTGTGTGACAGGTGTGTGACAGGTGTGTGTGACAGGTGTGTGACAGGTGTGTGTGACAGGTGTGTGTGACAGGTGTGTGTGTGTGACAGGTGTGTGTGACAGGTGTGTGTGACAGGTGTGTGTGACAGGTGTGTGTGTGTGTGACAGGTGTGTGACAGGTGTGTGTGACAGGTGTGTGACAGGTGTGTGTGACAGGTGTGTGACAGGTGTGTGACAGGTGTGTGACAGGTGTGTGACAGGTGTGTGTGACAGGTGTGTGTGACAGGTGTGTGTGACAGGTGTGTGACAGGTGTGTGTGACAGGTGTGTGTGTGTGACAGGTGTGTGTGACAGGTGTGTGTGACAGGTGTGTGTGTGTGACAGGTGTGTGACAGGTGTGTGACAGGTGTGTGTGTGTGTGACAGGTGTGTGTGACAGGTGTGTGACAGGTGTGTGTGTGTGTGACAGGTGTGTGTGACAGGTGTGTGACAGGTGTGTGTGACAGGTGTGTGACAGGTGTGTGTGTGTGTGACAGGTGTGTGACAGGTGTGTGTGACAGGTGTGTGACAGGTGTGTGTGACAGGTGTGTGTGACAGGTGTGTGACAGGTGACAGGTGTGTGACAGGTGTGTGTGACAGGTGTGTGACAGGTGTGTGTGACAGGTGTGTGACAGGTGTGTGTGACAGGTGTGTGTGTGTGTGACAGGTGTGTGTGACAGGTGTGTGTGTGTGACAGGTGTGTGACAGGTGTGTGTGACAGGTGTGTGTGACACAGGTGTGTGTGACAGGTGTGTGTGACAGGTGTGTGACAGGTGTCAGGTGTGTGACAGGTGTGTGACAGGTGTGTGTGACAGGTGTGTGACAGGTGTGTGACAGGTGTCACTGACCTGACAGTGATGACATCATCACACACTTCCTGTCCTCCAGAGCCAATCGTCTCTGCTCCTCCAGACTCTGCTCCACGAAACTCCTCCCACCGCTGCACCTGACCAATCACAGAGCAGCGTCACAGCCCCGCCCCCCGGGGCCACAGACAGGTGCAGCAGCACAACTCACCTGAGTCTCTCTCCGCCCCCCCTCCTCCTCCTCTTCATCCTCTTCTCCTCTCTCCTCTGTCTCCTTCCCTCGTTCCTCGCTCCCTTGTTCCTCTCTCTCCTCCGTCAGTGACAGTAGGGGGCGCTCTCTTCCTCTCTTCTGCTTCTTCTTCGTTCTCTCGTTCTTCGTCGTTCTTCTCGTCGTTCTTCGTCGTTCTTCTCGTTGTCGTTCTTCTTCTTCGTCGTTCTTCGTTCTTCTCGTTCTTGTCGTTCTTGTCGTTCTTCTCGTTCGTTGTCGTTCTTGTCGTTCTTAGCAGGAGCAGGGGTCGTCCCAGGCGGTTGTTCTGTCGAGGGGCTCGGGGGAGGCAGCCCACGAGCGCCCCCATGAGGCCGAACTCTCTCACTGCACGAAGCTCCTGCACACTCCACACCAGCCCCGCCCCCTCCCCCTCAAACCCCGCCCCCTCACCCCAACTCATCCTCACACCTGGTCTAGTCCTGGTTCAGTCCTGGTTCAGTCCCGGTCTAGACCTGGTCTAGTCCTGGTTTAGTCCCGGTTTAGTTCTGGTTTAGTCCCGGTTT